CCCAGATTTAAAATATGAAACAATAGGTCATAAGGAAAAGCAAGGGCACAGGAGTATGAAACGCTGCAGCGTGCAGAGGACTGCATTTTCACCAGATACAGAAGTCAGGTGAAGAAGCAAGCAGAGACCAAATCTACATTCAGGGGCCTCAGGCTGGCAGCTTGAAGAGGGTAACAGGAAGATAGTGTGTAATACAGAAATGTGCAAACACTGCAGATCAGGGGTTTTGCTTTTTTTTTTTTTTAATTCATAGCCAAGCCCCACTCCCAGAGCCAAGTGTTAAACATTTACCAGCACATCACTGGAAATATCTCACTCCAGAAGGCATTTTAATACAAAGGCCATTTAATGTGCTACATGATGTTTTAAGACAGAAACATTCTTCAAACATAAGATGCTATGTGAAATTTTTTCTCAAGGAAACCCGTATTCGAAGAAGTAGGAGAACAACGCTACACTAGAGTCCGTTCCATCTGAAACCTTGAAAGGTCTTTCTAAGGGGATCCAACTACTTGTTTGCTATGCTGCTACTCTTGGCCCTTAGAAGGGTTCCTAGCTCTCTGAAGATCTGGTCAGGCAAAACTCCTCCTGGGCATCAGATTCATCATTAACGAGGGAAAGCACAGCTCTAGCATTTTCTGTTTGGCGTTTACTCTGCATTAAAGATTACAAGGATTTGCACGTAAAATAGTGCTATTGATGTTGAGATTTCCATTATACAGAACATAATACAGTTTTTATGAAGAAAATTATTAGGCTGGAAGTGTAGCTCCGTGGTAGAACACCTGCCTGACTTGCATGAGGCCCTAGGTTCGAGCCCCACAAAAAATAAAAACTAAAAAAATTTTAAAGGAAAACATTTACCATTGGCAGTACCATGACAACTGTAGCAAATCTAATAATATTAAACATTCATAATAAATGTCAGGATATTAAAACAATATTCATCCACCAAACACTGCAACCTTAGCCAATTCCTCATGATAAATCTATCGCTTTAACTTAGATATCAGCTCATTTTCTTGGTCTTCCTGTGTTTCATCACTGAGTTTCTACAGCTGCCAGATCAGACAAGGCCTGCCACTCGGAGGCTGAAGTTATTTAAGTTTTAACCCAGAGAGGAACCTCAACAGCCAAGGGACATTCACTTCATCGGTTCCTCACATCTATCCTCTGGCTTATTTAACATTTATTCATTTGATTAAAATGTCATTTGAGACCACTGTGTGGCAGACCTCTGGCGAAGCACTGCCAGACAAACATGTCCATAACTTCCTAGGAAGCAAGCTACTGAGAGACATCCACAGAATGAAGGCACTCAGAAAAGCTGTGGTTTTAGAATGTTATGCGTCTTATGAAGGAGAAACACACAGGACTCGGTGAATGTGTCCCCTGTGCAGGCTGGGAAGCACAGCTGGGCTCACGGCCGCAGGACGGCGAGGAGGGGTACTCCGGCCAGAGAGCGCCGCCCTTTCCAAGGCCCAGGCTGCTGCTTCCACCTTTGCCATCTCCCGGCACTTCTCTCCTTAAGTTTGTTTTTCATGTAGCTGCCAACCCTCATCTTTCTTTCCCCGTGATCAGGACAGTTGGATGTTTACTGAGCTCACAGTACTTGTTACATCATCATTCTCAGCAACTGACCTCCATGAACTCACTGTCCAAATGGTAACCACGCGAGGAAACGGACATGGCCACGAGGCACTTGGCCGAATCTGCACTGCTATTAGGACAAGTCCTTTTTCACAAAGAGCATCTTCCTTATAACAGCACTCATGGAAGCTGTGAGATGACATAATACTTATTTCTTCAGTTTTCAGAAATTGGGAATGAAAAGTTGATAATGTAGCCTACAGTGAAACATTTCAAAAGCAAGAATATGTTTCTAAGTCACTAATACAAAACATTACTTACAAAACATTACTCAGAATGTGAGATAAAAACTAAGCATGGAGAAACAATGATAGTTCCTTCTGTACCTCACAAGGGAGTGGAAGACGAGCATATCTTTTCCATATAATACAAACTAGTAAATATTTATAAATATATCTGTAAGACTAATTTAATATCAGTACACAGTAGTAAACTAGCTGTGATTTTGAAGAAATCCCAAAAACCAGTATGGTCTTTAAATCGGTATATTTTAAATATTAAAAAATGAACAAATAACTATGAAATGCCCTAGACTTCACTTTAGCTTGTATCAAGAAATTTTGTGAAGCTCCTCTTATGATCAGACATTTCATCTGTAAAGTCTCCAGAAGATGATGTAGAAACAGTAATTAAGTGGGTGACTGATATGAGTGGATGTATGACTCAGCTTGCAAAGGAAAATGATTTTGGGGAAAAGGCTCAGGAAGAAGAGAGTCAGATAATGGATCGGGGTGGAAAGAAGACCTTTCCTGTCCAAGGGCTGTCACCAGTTCTTTATTACTTAAAGATTAAGGGAAGAGTGAATAAAGCTGTCTGCCAGACAGCCAGAGAGGGAAGAATAACAACGTCTCTCTGTGTACCTCACATGAAAGTTTTCAGAAATAACATTCATAAAATTAAACTTTCTATAAAAAGTTACTGGTAAACCCAACCCAGGTCAGACCAGTGGAAATGTGAAAGTAAACCAACATTACTTTCGTCAGGAATTTGCATGGAATGAAATGCCAGTCAAGTAGGTCAAGTTATAGAATCATCTAATTTTATTACATTTGGTTTTAGAAAAAAGACAGATATTGCTACAAATGTACTAGAAAACTTAGTGGGATTTCTTTTTGTTTGTTTTTCTACTCCATGAGTTAGTACAAAATAAATATTTGGTTTTGGTACTAGGGTTCAGTAAATTGATCCTGGTTCTTTGGTTTTTGAGGTTCAAGAAGTCAAATTCAACCCACTGATGTCACTTGCCCCCAACACATATTATATATGTGTGTATGTGCACAAAATGTATCATATATAAATATACCTTTAAAAAAACCACTGTAGTATAGGTTTTCATTGCTATCTTTGCATAATGAATCTTTAAGAAAATGAAGAGATTTCATTTAAATAAGTTGTACTCAACACAAAGTCTTACCCCACTTAATTATTCAGTTCGTATTTCATGAATATTTATTTTAGAGTCCCTACAATGTGACAGCATTGAGCTATAGGCTTAACACACAAGAATGCTGGAATTATTTTGTTATGTAAACACTGTCTGAGGAAAGGTAAACAATTTCATGATGAAGAAAACCCACTTTGTATTATTGACAGCTTGTACACGAGCAGCATCAAGTTCATGTCTTCTCTCACACATATAGCTCAGAACTTAGTGTGTGGGTGGGTGGGTGGGAGCATGGGCACACATCCTAGACAGACTTGGGCTGAAACAGTCCAGTTTCAGAATCTCTGCTCTTAAATCTTTGCTGTTAATCTGTATGTGCTCCTACATGCTGAGAAAAGCAGCAAGACGTGACTTTTAAAATGAAAATATGACTTAAGCAAAAGCTTCTACAATAAGAAGTTTTATTTCTACGGTCACTACATTAAGAACATTATCAGTATTAAGTGATAAGCAGACATTGGAAAAAATCTGCTTTTTAAATATATTTTTCTTGTGTGAATGTAATTATCAAAACCTTTCCACCCTTTTTGGGGATAGTATATCACCTAACATTTTTGTGACCTCCTCCCTGATTTTAAAGCTTTTCATGAAAAAGACCTTATTGAATCCTGCTAGCAGTACCATAAGTAAGATAAGTGTGATACTTAATTTCATGTATCAGCTTGGTTGGATCACAGTACCCAGAAATCTGATCAAACAGCATTCCTAATATTTCTGTGAAGGTGACTTTGGAGTGAGAGCAACATTTACACTGGTGGGTTCTTCCTGTATCAGGTTACCCTCGTAGCACAGACCTCATCCAATCAGCGAACAGCCCTCATGCAACAGAACGGAGGCCTCGGACAGGCACAGCCTGACTGCTTCTGGGCTCAACTAGGGGCTCTTCCCTGGCTCTCCAGCCTGCAAGCCCACCCTGCAGGTGAAGGGTTCCTCACTTCCTGAGCCAGTTCTCTACACACACACACACACACACACACACACACACACACACACACACACACCATGCACAGATCAGTCCTCCTGTATCAGCACTTTCACTTTCCATGACACCAATCATCTTTGGTTTACTTCAGAAATAAACTATTCCCAAGTTTTCAGTTGGGCACCATAGAAAACCCACGCTGTCACTGTCCATGAATCACCTCCTTTTCTCCACTGTAAGCCGCTCATCTGTTAGGGACCCAGTGGTTGTCTGACCACTGCTGCCACGTTGCTTTTGTCCGAGTAACCCTCTCAGACTTCATCACAGACCCAAAGCACCAGAGGCACGATGTTGGCAATTCTTAGGTATGCCCACCAACGAACTGAAAACCCATGTGGATATAAAAACTTGTATACAAATGTTCCTAATAGCCAACTGACGATAGCTACACAGTAGAAACAATATGAATGCTAACCAAGCAATAAATGGATGAACAACATGTGGTGTGTCCACATGATGGACTGATTCAGGCATCAAAAAGAACTAAGTCGGCAGGCAGGGGGTGTGGCTCTGTGGGGTGCGCTTATCTCACATGCACAGTGCCCCGGTTCCATCTCCAGTACCACTGAAAAAAAAAGGAATAAAGACAAATATGTCCTACAACATGGGCAAACCTTGAAAATACACTGAGTAAAAGAAGCAAAGACAAAATGCCATATTATTATATGAATCTATATAAAATGTCTGGAAGAGGCAAATCCATAAAGACAGAAAGTCGATGAGCGGTGGTCAGGGGCTGAGGGAATAAACTCAGTGGGGACTGAATGCACATGGATATGAGGTTTCCTACGAGGGAGAGGAAATGTTCCTGAATTAGATGCAGGAGTTATGACTGCAAAGCCTCATGAATATAGTAACAACTCTCCACTGTACTCTTTAAAATGGCGAATATTACATAAGTAAATGATATCTCAGTTTACTCACCTGCCCTTTTTGTGGTGCCAAACAACGAACGACTTCATTCACCATCACCGGAATATGCAATTCAGCCACGGTGTCAGAATCTCTATTTGGAGATGTGTGCGATTCCTGGGCTCCAGTTTGACCTGCTTGCGCTTGGGTTTTATACTCATTCCATCTTCCTGTTGTAGTATGTAATTTTTTTTGCCAGGCATCTAAATTAAGTATGCCAGATTCCAACCAGTATGAAAAACACTCTTTATATATACATCTACATAAATATGGGTATCGAAGCATTCTGTACGTCAACAAATCTAGAAAAGAAATTTAAAACACGAGACTTGTTGGATTTTTTTAAAAACAGAGTTAAAATACTTTGGAGAAAGTACATTAATATGAAATATTTAACACATCAAAAACTGTGACTCATGACCTGAGCAAGTGAAGGTGACCAACCTCCTTATATGAAATAAGGGACTGAGTGAATGCAGAAATGTAACTTAAATATAACTTTTAATGTGGTCTAACAAGCTCTAGAACTATTAACGTTTTAACCAGCAGGGATAAGAAAATTGGTTATGCAGTCATCTTTTTCTGAAAAATATATTTTCGAACTTTAATTCTAAAGAATGGGAGGGCCGGGGATTTAGCTCAGTGGTTTCGGTGCCTGCCTCGCGAGCCCAATGTCCCGAGTTCAATCCCTGGTTCCAAAATAAAGAAAGAGAAAGAAAAGAAAGAAAGAAAGAAAGAAAGAAAAGGAAAGAAAAGAAAGCAAGCTGCATCTTTATTAAAAAAAAAAGAATGGGTTCAATGAGTTCAAATTATTTCAAAAACTATCTGGATGAGTAAAAGGATGACAAATGTCCTAGGTTATAGTCAGATGGCCTTTTATTTCTCGCTTTTCTGTCTGTTTCTCTTATAATGCAAAATTCTCATATTTGTACAAAAGATCATTCCTGGGAAAAGACTAGACATGAAAATACAAAAAGAAAGGAAGATAGTCAGCCACTGACAATCTTGTGGGTTTATCATGGTTAGCCTCTGAGGAAACATGTTAACAAAGCTTGCATCAGTTTATGATTTTATGCACACGTATCAGAGCACACTTTAGCTTTCTATATCCACCTTTTCTGTCTGTTTGTTCAGTTGTTGTGGGGTGATGGAATTAAAGCCAAAGCCACCTTTGTCTGTCCCCTGTACTCAAAAATCAAGTAAACAGGCAACTGAGGTTTTGTTCATAAAATCTTTTCCTACACCAATGTCTTCAAGAGTTCTACCTAACCTCTGTTCCAGCCGATTCAGCGTTTCTATTTTAATATTTAGATCTTTAATCTATTTCGATTTTAGTTTAGTGCATGGTGAGAGATATAGGTCTAATTTTAATCTTCGGCAAGTTGAAACCCAATTTTTCCAGCACCATTTATTAAAGAAGCTATCTTTCCTCCAGTGAGGATGTCTGGCTAGCTAAATGGATGCACACTGAGGTGATACTCTTAAATGAAGTAAATAGGACACACATGTATAATAGATAATGTGAAATAGGAAAAAAAGGGGCAAAGGGGAAGGGGAAGTGGGAGGGGTAGGGGAAAAGAAAGAAGGGAATGGAATTAATATGAGAAAATGGAAAAATGGAAACAAAATCTTTGTAAATAGGGAGGGATGGAGGGGTTGAAGGGAGAGCTGGGCAAGGGGGAAAAACAAGAACCAAGAGAGATTATGCAAAGGTGCAAATTTCCAATGATGAATGTCATTATATTGTATAACTAAAATGTACCAATGATTAGAATGAATAATCGATAATGTAAAATAGGAAGAAAAGGTCCAAAGGGGTAGGGGTAGTGGGAGGGGCAGGGGAAAGGAAAGAAGGGAAAGGAAAAATGATGAGAAATGGAAAAAATGGAAATAAAGTCTTTGTAAATAGGGAAGGGTGGAGGGCGTGAAGGGAGGGCTAGGAATGGGGAAGAAATAAGAACCAAGATGCATCATGTAAAGGTACAAGTTCCCAATGAGAAATGTAAATGTGCTGTATACCGAAAATGTACCAATAAAAGAATTTAAGTAATAAAAAAGTAAAAAATATAAAAATAAGAAAAATCAAGTAAACAATTGATAACATTTCTTTAACTTCTCATACTGGCTCTATTTTCTTCTGCAAGTTGTAATTCTTTTAAATTCAGAGGGGAAAAGTTATTTATGAATTACTAACATAAGATCTTTTGAAAACATTGTGCATTTTATCCAACTGCTTTGAAACAGTGTTTTTAATATGATTGAAATACCTAGTTAACACTACTCTTTTTTCTTCATGGATTATGAGTTAAGACCTACACCCTTGTATCCACAAAATTTGATGTATACTAGGTGCTTAATAATGTCTTCCTGGGGGAAAAAAAAAGAAAAATGTATGATAAATTCCAGAGCCCACAGAATACATATTCTTATCAATCCTCACTTTAGCCAATTAAACTTGACTGAGCCTACCAAAAACCACATGTTCTCAAAATTCTTCAAGAAACACATTCTTAAATATCTTCATTTACTTTTCAACAGAAAATAAAAAGGTAATCACACATATTATTAAAATAGAATGGAATGTGAATATATATTATATAAATGTAACTTGAATAAGATATCACCTTGAGGATATGTCAACTTTATTAAAGATACAACACACTGAATTATGTGGCATCATGATACAGAAAAAACTGGCAAAAAAAATAGACTAGAAATGAGTTTTTAAGTGTATTTCTGGATATTAAGCAATGACAAATTGGTAAATTGCTAATTATTCTTTGGCCTTTCCAGAAAGCTTACTATAACTTTCTAGAAAGCTTACTATAACTTAGTAATGGTTTTCAAAATAGTGTCTAACATTAGTCTAGCAATTACTAAGTACTACTCTTAGCACAATAAATGTTCTAACTCATCCAATCCTTACCATCACTTTTGTAGGTAGGTATTATTCCATTTTACAAGAGGAAAATGGAAGTATTAAATAATTTCCCAAAGGTCACACAGAGAGCTATAGAGCAGTCTACTCCCACAATCTGCAATCCCCGCCCCCAAGATATAAACATAACCTATTGGAACTATTTTATGAATTCATGTAATTTAACGACCTTATGCTGACTATGCATGTATATTACCTCATAATTTGATTTTTTTTTTTTTTTTTTTGGGTACCGGGGATCGAACTCAGGACCTTGCACTTTCGAGGCAGGCGGCTGAACCAGAGCTAAATCCCCGGCAATTTTGATAATTTTTAAAAGGCATCAATTACAATACAGGAACCTGAACTACATGAGGAAAAGCAAGGGGTACTGTAGACCCCCCCCCCAAAAAAAGCTATCATCAGTCTTTCATTCCTTTCTACGGTATTCAACTTCTATGTATTTATTCAACTCTACTCAAGGTACAGAGCCTAAAGATTTTATTATGAACGAACTGGCCACTAACTTGGGTCAACAGGGAGAAGGGCTACGCGTGACTCATCTTCCTCTTTGGTAGTTTCTCTGCTTTCCCTCTCCTCTGTGGCCCGGGCTCCTACCAGAGTCCTCCGCAGGCTTCTGAGGCCACCCGTTTTCACTGGCTTAGGGTCATGTGCACTCCCTCCGCAACAGGACAAAGTGGAGTCAGGGAAGCAGGCCTCAACAGCAGGCGGTGTGGCAGCCTGCGCACGCCCTTCACCGGCTACCTTCCAGCAAGTTCGGCGGGAGCCCTGGAGCCCACCGCACCGGCAGCTGCTCGTCCTTTTAGGAACGTGCTGCCTGCGAAGCCTGGGTCTCAAGGATGCTAAGAACTGCCCTCGGGCAAGGAAACCCTGTGTGCAAATGTAATGCTTACACTCGGAGGCCAGCCCCCAGACGGAGAGAGCGAGAGGAAGGATCCAGCCTGTTCCCAGCATCGGACTCGGGCGAGACCCGACTTAAGCGCGGTTCACAGCCGGGGGGGGGGGGGGGGCGTGTTCCTCCACCAGGCGACCTGGCGACCTCCACGGCGCACTAGGGCGGGGCGGCTTCCGCGGCCTTCTCCTCACCTGAGGCACGAAGATTTCTCTCCTGGCCTCTGACTGGAGGCAGAGATGACCACCGTGTTGCCGGTGTGCCTGAAATTTCCCGCTCGAGTCAGTCCCAGACGTGGGGGAACCTGGCACGGACGGACGAACCGGACCCTCGTCCGCCCGCAACAGAGGCCCTCGCGCCTTTGGTTCCGAGGCTGCGAAAGGTCCCTGTAACACCCTGAGATTTGCAAAGGACTGGAGGGAAGAGGAGAGATCTAGCCATTGCCCTCGCTAAATTCGCTTTTACTTTTAAAAAAAATATGTCTGGGGCTGTTTTAAATTATCTTTTCTGTACTTTGGTTTACTATGAAAACACATTACATTTGGATTCTAATACCATGCCAGTTATACAGTACTTTAATGTCTAACAAAACAGTATTTGAATCTTAGCTCTAAATTTTTGGAAAGTTTTGATTCTTCTTCCCCTCCATTTCGTTGCAAAATACTCTACCGTCTTATCCTCTGTTACACCTCCTTAATGTCTTACCAAACGAACAAGTCAGCTGGCACACTAATGGCACTATGTCAAAATCTCTGTTTTAATAAAATGTACAAGTCCTTAAGAATGCAGATGTATAAGCAGGACAGTACTATACAGCAAGGGAACTGAAGGGAAATATAGGGTGCAGTAAGTACTTGGCATAGGTGTGGCAATAACTGTCAGACTGTGAAGCCACACAACATGGATGTCACAGTAAGACAAAATGGAAAACATTCGTTTACTTATTCCCTGATGTTTAAAGCGATTTTATAAGAACATGGAAAGGTATGCCTACTTTCAGGCTACATTCAGGTATCATTTTACTGTCACTTAATCCATAACATATTTCTGAGGCAAACAGCTCAATTCTAAACTGACTTTTTTATACAATCAAGACAAATATTTTCCTTTAGGGATTTTCTGAAACATCAGTTTTCTATCACCAAAATGAAAGTAGCAATATATAAATCTCGTGGACTGTTCTGAGAATCAAGATAATAACATGTAAAGTAATTAATAAAAGTCTGAGACATCAATGGTGTTATTTAGTGAGGACATATGTGTAATAAAATAAAAAGGCTTCTCAATTTTATTACCAAATTCAGCACCACACAAATGAGTATTTGGCGGGGGGGGCTTTTTTTTTTTGGTCTTTTTTTTTCACTTTTCTTTTTTGGTACCCAGAATCAAACCCAGGGCCTCGCGCTTGCCAGGCAGGCGCTGCACTGCTGAGCTACAACTCCGGCCCACAAATAAGTATTCTGTTAGCTAAGATACATATAATACAGCCAGAGATAAGTGACTTTATTGGAGGCCTATCCACTGTCCGGAAACAATCATATATAATACAGTGCTCCTGACTTTCTTCAATACCAATGCATGCAAAATCTGTGGGTTTCCATGTGTTTTTTTTCATTTATAATTCTCTACGTTTATGTGTCCCATTCATCCAGTGATACTGAATTACTAAACTATAAGGTCTAGGAGTATAGGGATTTTAACTTTACTGCTTATTATGGAGTACCTAATACCTACAATCAGTACTTGCTGCATAAATATATACAGTAATATAAAGAACAAGTATGCAACTGAAATACTATTTTATAATATCCTGAGGAGCTGGGGATGTAGCTCCGTAGTAGGTTTGCCTAGCACTCAGGAGGCCTTGAGTTTGGGTCTCATCATTGCAATAAAAACAAACAAAAAAAGATACAATAACATTCAAATATCCTTACAAATGAAAGTGAGTTAACTTAGCAAAGACATTTCCCTTTCTTCTCCAGGCATTTATTTTCCCTTGTCAAAGTGCACATTCTGAAATGATATCTACGACCTGAGACTTAAAAATCGCTTCATCCAGTAGCAAAAGAGGTGTTTCTTGGAGGAATGTATTTCCTGGAGCCTTCCTTAGAACCTGCAACTGGAGCGGACAGCGCGGAAGAGTTCCACAGCCAGCCTAGTGGGAGTGGCGCGGCCGCGCTGAAAAAGGAAGCCAAGGGCTCGACCAGCGGGTCAGGCGGATGGCAGGGAGCGGCCCCAGCCCGCCCCTCCCGCCAGCCAGGACCCGCGCACCACCCAGGCAGTGCTGCCGTCGCGGGCCGGCCCTGGCCAGGACTCTCTACCAGATGCCCGCTGCCCACCTGCACCTATAGCAGCCACGCCCACCGCGGGCCCCGCCTCCGGAAACGGCGGCTCGCGTTGCCACGGTGACGAGCCACCAAGAGGCTTTCTCCCAGCTGCGCTACTGAGCCTCCCGTCGCCTAACGGTGGCGCGGGGGGGGGGGAAACGTCCGACGTGGTGACGTCACGGAGGGGGCCAGCCAATGAGACGCGGCAGCGAGGAAGCTGGCTTGGGTTTGAATTTGTGGTGGCGGGTGCACCCTGGGAGGCGCACGGGGCCGCGCGGTGGTCGCGGAGCTGGCTTCCGGGGCCTGGGTGAGTGAAGGGCGCCGGGGGTGGGGGGGAGGTCTGCGGGCCGGGCCGCCCTTTCTGGCCGACGGCTTCTGGGAGCGGAGGTCCGGCGCCTCGGGGCTGCGGAAGCGCTGGGCCGGGCCGGGCCGGGCCGGGCCGGGCGGCGGGCAAGGCTGGGGCCGCTGAGGAGCGTGCGCGGGCCCGGGACGCCCCCCGCCCTGCATCGCCCGGCCCGGCCGGCCCCAGCGCGAGGCGGAGGTGTTAAAGGGCGCCCTGGCCCGCGCCTCGCGGCCCAGTCCGCGCAGGGGCGAGGCTGGGGGACTAGGCCGGCCCTGTGCCCGGGACCCGCCTCTCCCTCGGCTCTGCGAGCCCCTCCTGAGCTCCTCCGGGCGCCCAGAGCCTCCCAGCTTCGCAGGAGCGGCCCCGGCCCGGGGTGTGGGTGCCCGGTCCCGCTGCCCCGGACGGCGGCCTTGCCGCGAGCCGAGGGGCAGCTGGGGAGCGCGGCCGGGCCCCCGCGGGCAGCGGCCGGTGGCGGAGGCGGAGGCGGAGGCGAAGCGCGCCGAAGGCTGGCGCGCGAGTTCGCGTTCTTCTGCGAGGCCCGCGTCGGGAAGTAGCTCTGCCCGTAACGAGTGTCCGCCTCTGCCCGCCCCCGGCCGCGCTGCTCGGACCGCTCCCGTCGATGAAGGTACCCGAGGCAGCGGCTCCCGTGCTCTTAGCCCTGGACTAGCAGAGGAAAATGGCCCAGCTGGTCGTGCCGCCTTCCCTCTGTTGGAACTTTGCGTTTTCACTGAAGCTTGTAAGTTAGTGGAAGGGTAACTCTAAGAGTGAAGCTATTCCAAAGAGAAGTTTATACTAAATAGAGACCATAAATGAGGAGGGTTCCCAGTCCGTAAAAATGTAATTCAGATTTGAGTTTTTATTTAAGAAGTAGTTCATAGCTGTGTGCTTCAATATCTGTGCCTTTGTCCGCGAGCGTTCTGTCCTAATTCTAGTAGAGCATAGTTGGGAAGAATATGGACTTTGGATTTGGACATGAGTCTACTCTGTGGCTCCTCGGTTTATGTCATTTTGAAAAATTATTTATCCTAAAGTTAAGTCCCTATGTATCTGAAACAAAGACAATCATAGAACCTACCTTAGATGATAATTACGAGGATAAAGTGAGGTGGTGAATGGCAAATGCTTACCACAATGCCTTGCACATAGAATATACTCAAGTGAGGATCTGTTTTGCTTGCCACCACTAATTATCACCATTTTTACCTAATCCAGGTGTTCTTAATAACTGTTTTCCCAGAATGGTTACTCTGTGATATGTGACAAGTGTATTTCAACGTTTATTCATGAGCTCCTGTCAAAAGTAGACTGGTGCTCACCACAGCTGAATTATAGAGGAAATGAGGAAGCATTAGTCCCAATGTACAGTCTTTAAGTTATAAACAAGTTCATAGGAACCACTGTACTGTGTGGCAGATAGTTTTATTAAGTGTGGTAACCATTATACAACATATGCAAAGATCAAGTTATCGTACTGTACACCTTGAATATATACAATTGTCATGGTCAATTAAATATTTTAAGTTTTTTTAAAGTAGGCAAGTACGCACTTTTAATTTCTTCGAGAAAATTTCTGAAGGCCTGTGCTCCACATGCGTAAATTGAACTTTGAATTTTTCTTATCATTCTTTTGTAGCTTTTCTTTAGTGGGGTGAGGTTGAGACAGGGTCTCACTATATAGCTCAGGCCCACCTTGAACTCACTCAGTAGCCCGGGCTGGCCTCAAACGCAAACGCGCGGCAGTCCTCCTGTCTAAGCTTCCCGAATACTGGGATTATAGGTGTGAGCCACCACGCCCAGACTTTGTACCATTTTTCTAATCATACACAAAAATGATAAAATTTTGGAGCCAGAAAAACTTGTAAATCATCACAGTGTTGTACAGATAACAATAATAGTCTTCTGTTTTGCAAGTTTATATTAAACATGGTCAAGGAATTTGTTCTCTGCGTTTGATTCGGAATCACCTGTACAGCATGTCCATTTCTTTTAGTTAGCCATCTTAGAAAAGAATGAAGGCATTGTGTTGTAATATGGTAACAATCCCATTGATCCCTAAAGATGTCAGAATATTTGAACAAATTTTTACTTTTCAAAAAATTATTTTATTTTGAGACAATAGGTCTAGCAGTGGTGTTCAGGCTGGTCTCCACCTTCTGGGCTGAAGTGATCTTCCTGCCTCAGCCTCCTACATAGTTGGAACCACAGGCATACACTGTAGTACCCTGCTTTAATTTTTGCAATCTGGTGATTCTATTGACTTTGGGCATCTTTATTAAGAAAATTGGGGCTAGGAGCCCGTCGTTCAGTGGTAGAACACTTGCATACCACATGCAAGGGCCAGGGCTCAAGCCCTAGCATAAAGAAAAAGAGAGAAGGAGAGAGAATTTATTCCCTCATTTGTTCTTAAAAAGTAGGAAATGTGATACTTTAAAAATTAAGATTTATAGCTTTAAATCTCTAACAAGTTGTGAAACAAAGTTACATTTGACGTTTACTTGAGCTCCTTTAGATCACTATCAAAATTTCTCCCTGAAATGTTACTTCAGTAACACCTATTGGCACCAAAGTGCTTTTGTTGATTCCCAATTAACTTCAAATTCAAGTCTAAATTCTTCAGGCTTGGATTCAAGATCTTCAAAACTCACTGTGTCCAGTTTCATCTTTTTAATGCAACCTTCTCTTTTCTTCTCCATTCTCTCCAGTTGCTACAGAAGAGAGCAGAAATTCCCTTGATCCTTTCTTTGATTAATGTAGATAAAACTACATCTATTCATATAAAACTGAATAGTTTAAAAAAAGCAAAAGGCTGAATTAAATTGACCATTTAACAGTCCGCTCGTGAGCCCTGTACAAGCTTGTTCCTGCATGGTTCTTGGACTCATCTCATCCCTGAAAGGCTCATGCCTTGGGCTCTGTGAGGTCGTCACCCCACCAGACACTTGGAAGAGTTTCGATCTCTGTCTGCACACACTCCTGACCCTTTATATCTCAGGGCCCAAGGAAGCTGATGGCCCCCAATAAATAGTTACTAAATATATAATTAGTTTTTCTTCCTGAAATGCTTTTACCTAAATAACTGTCCATCTTCACCTCTCAGCTCAGCACTTCCTTTAGGAAACTTGACTGCACTAATCCAGCCCCGTACCCTTCATAGCATTTATAACCTCTCCACTGTAGTGCTTGTCAGATTATACCTGTACTGTTTGTGTCAATATTCACATCCACTTCCCTCGGTGCATTGTTAAATACCAAAAATAGCAAACACTGGTAGTACATTACAACTCCAGGTCAAGCATTATGCTGAGCCATTAATCCTTACTTTGGCTAAAATAACTCTGAGGTAGGTACTGTGAGTCCAGCTTTAAAGATGAGAACAGTGAGCCACCCACCCCTCTCATAGGTCATAACAGTGAAGCTGGGGGTGGGGAGACAGGGCCTTGCTAAGTCTAAACTGCCCTTGCCCAGGCTGGCCTTGAACTTGAGATCTTCCTTCCTCAACCTCCCAGAGTGCTGGGGTTACAGGTGTTTGTCGCCATGTCCATCTTGGAGTGAAGTATGTGGGGATTGAGACAGGATCTCGCTGTGTAGTTCAGGCTGGCCTGGAACTTTCAGTAATCTTCCTGTCTCGGCCTCCTAAGCCCTGGGATTACAGGCATGCACCCCCACCCTCTGCTCAGAGTGGGTGTTTTAACCTGAGCTATCTGGCTCCAACATTCTAATAGTTAACTTATAAGTATATCTGTTAGAGTCAAAGCATTGTTGAATATTTCAGAAAGCTTTTAGAAATACTTGGCTGGGCGTGGTTTGGGTATCACAAGGAAAGTGGGAGACTACTGGCCTGTAGAAGGAAAGAAACACATGTTTCTCAAGTTCTTGATGACTTCATGTTTATCCCTTTTGCCCTTCACAATAATACTATGAGGTATTATTCTCATTCTCTTTCCCTTCATAGTCCTGCTGGCTTTGAACTCCCTATATAGCCTAAGCTGCCTTAGAACTCTGGATCCTCCTGCCTCAGCCTCCAAGTCTGCAACGACCGGGGTGTACCACCATACACAGCTTATCTCTTTTCTACATATGAGAGACCTGTGACCCAGGGAAGTTAAATTACTCATATAAGGTCACAGAAGCAGGCGCAGATGCATTGTGGGAGTTGTGTAGACAAATTGTAAAGGGTGAGGAAGAGCAGAGTGGTAATTCATCTGAGACCTGACCAGAGTCCAGATCACAGGCTCTTCCTCGTCAGCATTCTATTGCTGGGTAAAGATGGAGTCCTAAAAAAGGCAGAGCTATGTCCTGCATCTGCTACTTTTAGACTACTTTGGTATTATTTGAATTATGTCCAAACGAATATGGTTTTGTGATATGGTTTGGCTGTAACATTGAGGCTTTTTCCCATTTAAAAAAAGAAACCAGACTGTCAGTTGGCTGCTCTTTCCTGCTACCCAGACCCTTTCTCTGCTCCCTTTTACACCATATTTTCCCAATTTCCTCACTCAGTCTTTTCATATCCCGTTTTTGTTCCCACCACTTCCCCAAAGCTTCCACATTGGCCTTTGTTTCTAAATCCGATGGTTAATTCTCAGGAACTGCTTGACTTATTAGCTATACTTAACACAGTTGATCACTGTCTTGATTTAATGGTTCCCAAAAGTCTTAAGGCAGCTTTAAGCTTTTAAAAACTTTAAAAACTCAAAACTCGCTTGAGATGCTAAGGAAAGCCTTGGCTGTCTTAACGCAGCCTCTAACCACCTTAACATTTCCACCTGAGTAGCTCTGTGAACGCTCAGGCTGTCCTGAACTGAACTCTGGTGTCCCCACCACGCGGGACCTGCACCCTGCTCTCCCAATTATTTTTATGTCCCTAGACGGCTACTCCTTTCTCTTAACACTGAGGACAAAATTTTGGCGGTATTGAGCCCTCTCTCTCTCTCATACCCCGCGGACACCTATCAGAAAAGTCTGTTGGCTTTACCTTCAGAATAGTCCAGGGCCAGCTGACCAGTGCTGCCACCACCACACTGCTTTGAGCCACACATCACTTCTACTACAGAGTCCACCAAAGCATGTGTACACACTTGAGGAAAGAAAAGCGTGTACGTATTTTAAGACTAAGTTAGTTGAGATATCATGAGATTAATACCAGTTACCTTTGGCCTCTGCAGTTACAAAAGATGCTCAACGTGGTGGCCATGAGCTTCCGGACATTTATTAGTACAGCAAACTGCTGCTTGGGTGAGCTTGGCATTGAGATTGTGGCACATGCATTCTCAATTCTTTCTCTAAGGGCTTGCAGTGTAGTGGGTTTTCTGGGAAACACGACATCCTCGGGCTCCCCACATGAGGTAACACCATCTGTTAAATAAACATCATACTGTTTGGCTTTTCCTGAGGTGTGTATTCATTTTTTGGTGGACTCTGTCCTTCAGAAGACTAATCCTTGTTTCCCCTACTATGCTGTTGGCAGCATGGAGAGTGACAGGTGACACTGTCACTCCTGTGCTCCCTCTTCAGTGGTCATCTTGTTCGGAGTATACGCGGAAGGTCTTCAGGGGCCAGCATTTTCACCTCATGCTCTTCCATTGGCCCTGCTCTCTGTTAAAAAGTACATCTCTCAGTGTCTGCTTGACCAACTCCCTGCTTCAAGTCCTTACTCACATGCTGTTGTTTTCGGGTGTGTTTTATAATTGATGAATAATAGTGGAATTTATTTATGGAGTGCAGTGTGACGCTTCACATGCGTATGCTGCTGTATGAGCAAATTGGGCCAATAAATGTGCATCACCTCATAGACTTCTTTGTGGTACAAACATTTCAAACATGTGACTTTAGCAGTTATGAAGTACAAAATGTGTGTTGTACAGTAACGGGTCACCAGAGCGTCTTCCTGCTGGGTCGCAGAAACTGTGTACCCTTTGGTCCGCATTTCCCCGTTCCCTGACCATCCCACCCCTCGCCTCTGACGGCCATCATTGCTTGCACTCTCCTTTATTAGTCAGTCTTGCAGAGTCTGCACATACATGAAATCATGTGGCTGGATTATTTTACTTGACATAATATCTTCCAGATTCATCCATATTATCAACAAGCGGCGGGATTTCATTCTCTTTTTAAAACTGAATATTGTAGTTCTCCATTGTGTGTGTGTATATGCATGTTTTTCACTTGTTCATCTGTGGTAGGCACTTCAGTAATGTTCATATCTGGGCCATTGTGATAATGCCGCACTGGGCCTGGGAGTGCAAAAGTCTCTAACATCCTGTTTTCAGTTCCGTGGGCTGTAGACCCAGAAGTGGGATTGCCGGGTTATACTAACTCCCTTACCCCTTCCAGTTCATAGGTTCTAGGATATGTTCTGGATGGCTGAGATTTCTAAATCACCCATCTTTGTTAGTTTGCTTTTCTTCTTTTCATGTGAGGCAATCATCAAAATCAGAATTTTTTAACCTATCATTACTGATATCCCTTAAAATGGCATATCATGAAGAAATGGGAGCCTATGACCTCTATTCCAAGACTAGGATTTCAGATTATGCCAAAGGGTCCCTGCTGTTTCTGTCACTTCCGACCTGAGCTAGCCACTTGATGCATCCTTGGAACTATTTTTAACCCTATGTGTCTCAGAGGCACAGTCAGAGACCAGCCTGGATGTATCACTTTGCACTGCCAAGAGGCTTGCAGCCAAGATGGCTTTCACTAAAAATAGTTCCCAAGCTAGAGCTGTGTCATCCCTACCCTGATAGGATTCGGAAAGCTCCTCTCCTGGCCATTCCCACAACTCAGGTGCAAGCAGTTCTGCAGCTGTGGTGAACATCAAAGCTGAGTTTTGGGGTAGCACAGCTGTGGTTATATAGGACCCAGGCACAGTATTTGAATTTAAACTGGAGCCCAGGGTCTGGTCTGACTGCAAGTAAAATCATTGCCATCATGCTTGTGTGTATGTGCGTGTGTGTGTGTGTGTGTGTGTGTGTGTACGCGCGCCATTTAATTTTTTCCTTTAGGTTATTTGAGTAATATTTGTATTTTCCTGGAACAGAATTAGCACTTTTTTTTGGTACTAGGAATTGAACCCAGGATCTTGCGCTTGCGAGGCAGGCGCCATAACCACTGAGCTACATCCCTGGCCTTGCCTCTTTGTGAATGAATACTACATACCATTTAGAGGCAGAACTAATATTAAAACTTCATTTTCCTTTTTTATTTCAGGGCAATATCGGGAATTCATAGAAACAGGAACCAGGCTAATAATGTCTGTCCCTAAGGAAGATCTGTGGCACCACATGAGAGTAGCCGTCCGCGTGCGCCCTGAAAGCACAAAGGAGAAAGCGACAGGGCTCCATAAGGTGGTCCAAGTTGTGGATGAGCACATACTAGTTTTTGACCCCAAACAAGAAGAAGTCAGTTTTTTCCCTAAAAAGAAAAGTACAAATTTTGATGTTTCAAAGAGACAAAATAAAGATCTTAAATTTGTATTTGATACTGTTTTTGATGAAACTTCAACTCAATTGGAAGTTTTTGAACATACCACCAAGCCAGTTCTTCGTAGTTTTTTGAATGGTTATAATTGCACAGGTAATTTTTTCAGTTTTGAGATTTAAGTTCTCTATTTGATTTCATTTTTATGTGGGGAGGGACGTGTACTTTGTCCTTTCTTCTAAATATAGTCAAATGTAAGGTACTTGAATGCTAAAAAGTTTTAAAAAATGAAATAGACTACCTTTAGACTTTCTTTGTCATTTATGAACCTTTTCTCTTCCCAGGGCCTTGGTGTGGCCCCTGAGAATAGTCCTTTCATATTCCTGTATTCTTAAACCACTTACTGCTTGCAATCGATGTCTGATTCTCATAATTTATATTCATAAATATTCGCACTGCTGAACTGTTTAGCCTCTATCTCATGAATAGTCACACATTGCTGAACACTTGGCAGTTTTTTTGCAGCACCATTTTTCTTTAAAGTACTTTGAACTAAATCTGTTAAAACACCATTGTAATTGAATTATCTGGTATTATTTTAGCATATCTTCAACCCAAGAATCATCTCTCATGTTTTGGAGAGGCTATAATTTGCCTTCCAAAAAGGCCATATTGACTTCCCAGAGAAAGATAAATGCCAAATGGCTAGTTAATTCAGTGATTATAGTTACAGTTCAATGATTGAACACCATCATTAATATCTTACTTTTGTAATTATCAATTTTTATGATATTTTCCACAGGACATTCCACAGCTATACCATATTCTATCTCTGGCTCATTTTATTTTTATCACAGAATTACCCTCTTGATCAGTTACAAACAGATCAATCCAATCAATGGTTTATTGATTGGAACTGATATGATTCTCACTTTAAGCATATGTTCTTTTCCTTCATAAAATTTCATATTGTCTCTAGAAATTTTTAAATCTTTTCTCTTCTTGAATCCAAAATATCCAGCTGTCAGTTTACGTAAAATAGAACAAAGTAAAACAAACTGATAAACTATGAGAACTTAATGCCTTAATTGATTATTGTACTGGGTGCTTGCTACTTATAAATCAAAGATAGATTATTTTATGCATTTGAAGAAATGTATGACTTTTATGTTGTACTGGATAGAATATTGGAAACAATAATTTGTCTAAAATGAGAATTTTAAAAGGAATTTTATAAATGGCCTCTGTCTGGAATTCATTCATTCAACAGACTTGTGTACTTACTTCGCGTCAGGTGATGCAGGCCCCTGAGGGCTTCTGTCCTGATGGAGCTCACAGCTGGATACAGGCTGTTGTGATAAGGCTGGGATAGTGGGGTGTGGATGTGTAACCTATACTGTGGGTTAAATTTAGGAGTAGACCAGACTACCTGTGATGATCAGGACAGGCACAGAAAATGACTCTTGTGCTAAGTGGGAACAGGTGGATTTAAAGTTACCATTCAGGATATCCAGAGGGAAGTGTCCAGGGGACAGTGGATATAAAAATGTCACGTGTCATAACAAAGAGCTTTGATGCCTTTCATAAAAATTTAGTGCTTGCATATGGTGCCACGGGAGCTGGGAAAACCCACACAATGCTAGGATCAGCTGCAGAACCTGGAGTAATGTACCTAACAATGTTAGACCTCTACAAGTCCATGGATGAGATTAAAGAAGAGAAAATATGTAGCACTGCAGTTTCTTACCTGGAGGTAAGTTGCCAATATTCTTGAGGTTATTCACTGTTTTGGGAAAAATCTTCCTTTAAATTAACATGGCTCATTCGCATTACAGTCAAACTTTGGATTGCGAATGATGTGGTCTGAGAGTGTCCTGCATGACAAACAAACATTTCTAAGAAATTTTAACTTGATAAGTGGACAGTATCTTGCCATACAAGTAGTACATCATGCTGAATGTCACATGATCACAACTGGTTCTCTCACTGCTTTGATACATGAATGCTTTGAATCATGAATGAAACAAATTCTCACAAACCAAGGTTTTAATATATTTTATTGTATAAGAATTTTCTCAGGAATGTATAAAATCATTAAAGTTCTTGTTTTGAGTATTTTTAAATACATCTTTGTTTTCTGGGGCTCTTGGAGGGGTCATAATCTCAGACTAACAGAAGTTGCAAAAACAGTACAAAGAACTTGTAGACACACTTGACCAGTACCCCTGTATATTAACATCTCACTACATTTGCCCTGTCTCTGTGTGTAGGCATTTATTTGCTTCAAAATTGTTTAAGTTGTGAACTTATAAAAACAAGAAATATTCTTAATCACTGAATAATTATCAAGATCAGGAAATTCATGATATTATCTAATCTGTTGACTAATGAGATTTTGCTAGTTATTCTGTTAATGCTGTATATGATATAAAATCAAGAAATGAATGATCAAGAAATGAATCCACTTGTCATATCTCTTTAGACCCCTTTAATGTGCAGCATGTTTTGTGTAGGATTCTTTGTGTTTGATGACACTACCATAGTTCAGCTGAGTTCGTCACAGACCCAGATTGTGCATGGGCAGAAACCCCACAGAAGTCAGGTTGGGCTCTCACTGCATATAGCAAGAGGTTATGTGGTTGGTTGGTCCCATGACTGACAATTTTAACTTTCTTAATTTTATTTTGTGGATATTTGTAAGGTTTTTCTGCTCTACTGATACCATTCTATCCTTTATAATTAATAAGTACCCTGTGGGGAGGCAATATAAATATCCTCTTTTACCTCAAACCTATATGTATTAGTATTAGCATCAACTGATGACTCATACCTGCATCAGTTACGGTTACGATGGTGATTTTTAAATTCCATTATTTTCCCATTTATTCATTGGCCTTTTACTGTAAGGAAGAGCTTTCCTTTTGCTTTATAACATCAGCATGAACTCAAGGGTTCTTACTTTATTCAATATGTTAGAATCCCTTTATGTGATTGTTTCTTTGTGCCCAAATTGTGTAGGATTTAGCTAATTGAGCTTCTTTCATGGCGCCTCTTGTGTCCTTTTGATGTACCCCATTATTTCTTCAGGCCCTCTACCACTTAACAGTTAGTATTCAACAAATGATATCTAAAAGCACACATTCTAAGTTTACATTCAGATAACATCTTAGAAACCTCTGCGTATTCACTAGCCATATTAATAGATATTTATTTCTGGTGTCAGAAAATTTCTCATACTTTGGTCCCAACTGAGAGAATTGCTTCCAGTGGTTAATTAAAAACATAACATTTCTAAAGTTTCCCCATCAGTATACAGTACTTGGAGACAAAAGAAAATTAAAACTCGTGTTCATAGTTAAGTAGTAAAAGGAATTGTTCTGAACAAGGAAAAAGAAGGGAATATTAGGGGTTTTTTTCTTAATTTTTTTTAACAGGGAGTTTTTGAAAGTTGGTTCTTTTCATAATTTTTAAAAGTATTCTTTTAATCTGCTATTATTTTATTAATGACATGGCAGTGGCTGATTAGGCTTTCCACTCAGGCAGTGCACCAGAATTACCTGTGGAACATTTAAAAATCTATTGGGTATGCCTGTCTTGGGTGTTTGCGTGCAGTACTGCTGGGGTGTGGGCAGAGCATCTGCTCTTGGAAAGCTCCCAGGTGAGCCCCTTACGGAGGTCAGCTTGGCAGTGATCTTTCTCTCAGTATGACTGAAGTCAGTCGGGAAGGAGAGGTGGTAGGAAAGTGCTGCTGATCTGCAAAACAGCTGAGACATTCACTCTTCACATTGCCATCTTACCATTGAACTTACTACATTGTAATAATGTGCTATCATTCCTTAGAGAGAGCTGTGCCGCCAAAGAGTTAGCACTGTGGGTTTTGTATTAGAAGAAAATAATATAAAAGACTTTATTTTGTATGCTTTTTATTTAACTCTTATCAGTAATAATTGTCATGGTCATTTGGTTGGCAAATATTAAACTGTGTACCTTTAATAAATTATGAAATCAAGTGGGTAAAATTGTTCCTATGTGTTACTTACAGAAATTACTTTTTAAGTGTTGCCAAATGCAGGTGCATTTTCAGTGCCAAGCGGTAACGTGGGGATATCTGAACTTCATCCCTGCACTTTTGCTACTTTAGAGACCAAGGGCAGGCAGGTCACTTAGGTGAGGGCCTTAGCTCCTTCATCATTCAAATGGGGAGAGGGTTCCTGCTAAGGAATTGTGTGTTGATCTTAGTGTAATTGAAGGAGTAGTGAGGTACATACCATCCATCAGTTAGTATGTGTTTTCTATCAACATGTGTTCTCTAAAATTTATGTATTTCCAAGAAATAAGGAAAAGCAATGCAGCGATCTTACTTACCTGTGTCTTACTGTAGTTGTCAGAGATCATGTAGTGTGGGTGTAATGACTCAGACCTTAAGCTTCCATTTTAAACCTAGGTGACCATAAACACTTTCTGGGGTGGTAGAAACTTATGGTAAGATTACGTAAAAAGATGGAAAGAAGGAAAATGAGCTGCTGCTTATTCTTAAAGTAAAATTCTAATCACCTTAAATCAGCAGTAGGTGTGTGATGTAGTCACGATTATTTTGACATCATGGCTAAAGCAGTTTTTTGGGTTTTTTTAAGGTATATAATGAGCAGATTCGTGACCTCTTAGTAGATTCTGGGCCGCTTGCTGTCCGCGAGGATGCTCAGAAAGGAGTGGTTGTTCAGGGTCTGTCTTTGCACCAGGTATGTTTATAAACGTCTTCTCATCCTGTTAGAACAGCAAGTGTGGCTATTTGCCCATTATTTGTTTTCCATCCTGTTTGAGAAAGAAATGAACTAGTAAATTATAGAACTGAAATGATTAAAGAATATCTGCAGACTTATTTTGTTTGCTTTTAATTAAGTGAACTTTTTCTTTCTAAAAATCTATTTGAACGTTTAATGTCTTATTTTGTTAAAAGCACCTACATGCTTAGTTCAGTGGTGGGCACTTGCCTAGCACGTGTGAGATTGTGGGTCTGATCTCCAGTAAGAAAAAAAAAAAAGGAAGAAAAGGAGGGGAGAGTTTATTCAGTAATTTCTTTTTCTTTCCAAATTTCTCTAGCCCAGATCCTCAGAAGAAATCTTACAGTTACTGGATAATGGGAACAAAAACAGGACACAGCACCCCACTGACGCAAACGCAGCCTCCTCTCGTTCTCATGCTGTTTTCCAGGTAACAGGTCACGAGGCCATCACTCTGAGAATGGAACTTGAAACACGTGGAGCAGAACTCATGGATGATAATTGTCATACGCAAAGAAAAAAACTCTTCACTTGTAGACATCTCCACCTCTCAGTATTTCTTCTCCTTTGCAGCTTTTGAGAATATCACCAAGAGTATTTAGGATTAAGATGATATAAATAAAAAATATGAATTTTCAACCTTTATGACACAAGATTTCAAAAATATAGAATTTATAGATATGGGAAGGTAAAATGGTGATAGTGATAGTTTTTTTTTTTTGAAGTTGGTGAAAAAAATTTTTTCCTATAGATGCTTGCATTCAGAGTGAGACTTCTCTGTATAGATCTCAACCAATTAATTGGAAAGATACTAATTTTCCTTTTAGAAGTTTTCACCATGAAGACCATTAAGTAGCTGCATTCTTTAATGACTCAACTGACACACATGCTTTAGGAATACAAGTCCAGAAAGAGCTAAAGCATCAATTAGTGGCATTTCTTGTTTAAGGGTTCTAGTGTGTTTGAATCCAAATGATTGAATGACCTTTCATCCTGGACTGTGCCGTATGGAATTAATCATATAGGAAAAAATTTTCCCAATTGAAGAGATTGTTTTCTAAGAAAGTCAGGCCATTCAGATCATCCCCAGTCACCCAAGATTTACTTGTCCTCTCTTCTTACCACTGACTTTTCACTTATCAGTAGTTTTGAGAGAAATGTTTATCTGTGACACTAAGATTTCCCAAAATCTTAGACCTCGCTTTATAAGAAAAGTTGATAAGAGAATTTTATGATAGAGTATAGCTTACCATCATCTCTTTCCACCTATTTTATTTGAGATAAATTGTTCCAAAACAATTTAAAATAGCTGAGAAACTATACCTTTACAAGTGACAAGTATACTATTATCTTTTTGTGTATAACATTCTCATAATTATGGGGACATGCAACAGTTTTAGAAATTAGAATAAGTTTATTCTGCAGTTTGGATCAGCATTCAAAATCATCTTTCCTTTGGGGCAGTTTTAGAGGCATGCAAAGTGTGCTGACCACTCCTGCCTTTGTTTTTTCTTAAGAATGTTATTTTTGTAGGACCTAGTTGTCCTTACCATCGGTTGTAATGATTCCATGTTTTGACTTTTAATAGGTCAAGAGTTATTTTCCCTGTTATGCTGTGTATAAATGACTTGAGATGATCTACTTGTAAGTGAAAAGGTTGATTTTAGCTCATGGTTTTGGAGGTTTCAGTCCATGGTACCTCTATGCAGGTGCTTTTAGCCCTGTAGTGAGGCAACATATCACTTATGTCTGGAAGAGAGGCTGGGGCCCTGTCATTCCTGGTGAGCAGAAGACTCCCATTCACCCTCTTTCTTTCGAGATGGGCTCTGTGCTGTGTTGCCCAACCTGACCTCAAACTTCCTGGGCTCAAACCATCTCCCAGTATCAGCCACCTGAGTAGCTGGAACCACGAGCCTGTGCCACCGGGTCCAGGATAGGTGCTGCCTCTCCCTGGGAGCACCAAGCTGGATAACAAGCCTTAGCAATGGGATTTAGGAACATTTACAATTAAAGCGGACTGGGGTTGTGACTCAGGTAGAGCATTTGGTTGGTATGTACAAGGCCTTGGGATCAATCCTTAGTATCGGCTTTTAAAAGAAAAGAAAAAAGTTCCAAACATTTTCCATAATGTGCACATATAAAAAGTCTTTGTATTTTTCTTAATATATTTGGGGTTTTTTTGGTACCGGGGATCGAACTGGGTACCTTGCGCTTGCAATGCAGACGCCGGAACCACTGAACTAAATCCCCGGCAGTAATGTATTCTTAAATGTTAGATTATACCGCGTTTGGGACATGCTTTTGATGACAGTAATATTACTTTGAAATAGTTTCATGGTGCTTTGAAAGGAAAATGTGCTTCCCTTTTAAATTTTAGCCTTGTTTTTCCTTGTTCTTCTAAAATTTAAGATCTATTTGCGACAGCAAGACAAAACAGCGAGCATCAACCAGAATGTACGCATTGCCAAGATGTCACTTATCGACCTGGCGGGGTCCGAGCGGGCCAGTTCCACCAGCACCACAGGGGCCCGGTTCGTGGAGGGCACGAACATCAACAGGTCCCTGCTCGCCCTGGGAAACGTCATCAACGCCCTGGCAGATGGAAAGGTGTGCGCGCTCTCTGTTTGCTCAGTATTTTGAAATATTACAGCACCATTTCTAGAAAGATATATTTAATACAATTTCATTTTAAAGGCCTATTGCAAATTGTATTTCAAGGGTATATGGACAATTTTTAGATGCAGACCTCAAAATCTGATTTATCAGGAAGCTGTGCAGAGTTATTTTTGTTTGCTTTTGCAGTTGTATTTTGGTAAGATACTATATTTTTTAATTTCCATTTTCATACTTAAAATTAATTAGATGAAAATTAATGATCATCAGATTTGTAGTGAATATTGTATGGTACATTCTTATCGCTTATTTTGGACTTGTTTGGTTTTTAAAGTGACAATTTAATAACTGCTATACAGCAAGAATGATAATTGAATTGCCATGAAGAGAAGAAAACATTTTAACAAAATTCTTTTCTGGATGGTATTTTATGTACTCTAAATTGGTTTTATTAAAGAGAGAAAGGGGAACTTTAGATGTAAGCATAATGTATTCATCTAATAGAATAATATGTACTAGATGCTTTGGGGGCTTTTTAAAATATTTTACAGAGTACTCAATAGAGCACAGCCTATTTTGATAACTAATGTATGTGTAAAAATAACTTCCTTCTTTAAATTTGAAATAAGATAACTTAGTTAAAATCTTTAGGAAAATTATTGTTAAACTGTTCAAAATGTCATATTTTTCTTTAGAATAATGTGTATTAGGATGACTAGAGGGAGCCTTTTTAAAAAGGGCATCTTACTAAATCACACCAAATTTGAAAGCAGAGAGTGTTTTTGCATTTAGAGTTAAAATCTCAAACATGTTAGCAGACAACGTGACATAAAGACGATGTTGTAAACTTAAGCAGTTCATAGCTTAGGATGTTTGCCATATATACTAATACTTCATATTTAAATAATGATTTCTCTTGAGTCATTTATGAGTCTTTTTGAATGTGTGTCTTGTTCGTGTGAAAATCACTTCTGGCGGCACCAACAGTATACATCCCACGTTTGGGAAAGGCTGCGATGGTTTAAAGCACACCACTACTGGGAGCTGGGGGCCTAGGGCTTATTTCTAGCTCTGAATTATCAGCGCATTTTTCATTTACCTCAAATTCTTTAGTATGAAAAATACACATTGGATAGCATAAGATTGGTTACATGTAACATAATGAAATTGTACTTTTTAGAATATTTGTAACTTTCAAACCAGAACTGTATCTTTGAGTAAAAAGAAATCTTGAAAAATTAAATTCTCTTAGAAGTCTGTTGTAATTTCAGGTTAAATACCCATAATTTTGTGTTTATTTTGTATCCGTACTAGATTTTTATTTAGGGAGGAAAGTAACTCTGTACCATGCAAAATTCTTACTTCTCTAGTACATTTGTGCAGGGTATATATTTGTTTACTTTTATATTTGAATTTCTCTTAAAAATGGTGGGAATACTTTAAAGAGACATTTTATTTTCAAATAATTTTAGGGTTATGGAAAAGTCCCTGAGTTAACATACAAAGATTTTGCTAAATATGCCCCGTACTTCTCCCCTGGGTCTCCCTGTGTTTCCTAGGCTGGGCTGGAATTCATGAAGCTACTTCCGGCCTCCCTGGTAGCTGGGATTATGGGCACCCAACCCCATTGTTAACTCTTCCGGGATGTGATACAACAATAATATGGTACATTGTTCACAGCTAAGAATGAGCCAGTTTTGATACATTGTTTTGTAATATACTAAGATTCATACCCAGATGGAGATATAATTTTTAAATAGGATTTTTATTTTATATGTTCACTGAATACTCCTATAACATATTATCATTAAGGACTAAAAGGTATAATAGATAATATGAAATAGGAAGAAAAGGTGCAAAGGGGAAGGGGAAGTAGGAGTGGTAGGGGAAAGAAAGAAGGAAATGGAATTAATACGAGAAAAGAAAAATGGAAACAAAGTCTTTATAGATAGGGAGGGATGGAGAGGTTGAAGGGAGGGCAGGGGAAGGGGGAAAAAATAAGAACCAAAATGGATCATGTAAAGGTGCAAGTTTCCAGTGATGAATGTCATTATATTATATATCTTAAATACCAAAAAAACTAATTTAAAAAAAACATTATCATCATTTCAGTCACCAATTATATCGTAAGTCTGGGCAGAGTTGGGTAGTGCTTAAGTTCTAGTGAAGTAGTAGAAGGTTTGCATTTAAATGTGGAAAATGGCATAAGAATTCTTTTTTTGTTCTTTCAGAAAAAGAATCAGCATGTTCCTTACAGAAATAGTAAGCTCACTCGCTTGTTAAAGGATTCTCTTGGAGGAAACTGTCAGACTATAATGATAGCTGCTGTTAGTCCTTCCTCTTTATCCTACGATGACACGTATAACACCCTTAAGTATGCTAACCGTGCAAAGGACATTAAATCTTCTGTAAGTGTATGTATGTTATCTTTGGGTGAGAGTTCTGGGTGCATATTACAGTATTGTAATTCTAATGGAAGTGTTGGGTTTGTGTTTCTATTAAGGACTCGGAAGCTGAGGGTCAGAATTGTCTGCTTAGTCGTTCATTGAACAATGACTTAGTCAAAACTTTAAACCTCTTGTTTTGCATACGGTGGATGCAAGTATTCAGTCTTCAGGGTGCTAGGGTGCTTTAATACATTTCTGCCCAATCGGGTCACATCCTGGAGTAATCGCTCAAGGCTTTCGCCCATGTGTTGCCGCCAAGGATGATGCTGTGCTTTAGCTGAGCACCAGCATTTTGTACCTGAAATCCTTGAACATGGTCATCTCTCCACCCCTCGGTCATTTCATGTGGAAAATAGCTGTATCTGCCTCTGTTTATAAAGCATATAGTGTTTTAAAAATAATTATATCCGGATTCACGACACTGATGTGCCAGTTTCTACATAGCTGAAGAAATAAAATAGTGAGTGGTTAGAATTTTTGCTAAAGGTTTGGGGTACTTTTTTTTAAAAAGTCAAGACGTGTGTTTAAAATGATAGCACCTCAGGTTGGCAGAGACCTACAGTGGCACTGATGTGGTGACTTTTCCCACCCTTCTCTGCCGCCTGCTTTACATGTCTGCAGAGAAGCAGTCTGTCTGTCCTAAGAGACACAGTCACATATTATCTATACCAGGTCATACCGTACCAGTGTGGATAGGATTTTCATACACTTTGTATTATTTGCTCTAATTCACTGTATCAGGCGATTTTAGCTCCACTGTTCAGTTGTGCAAGGCAGAGTTTAGAGAGTTTGAGACACTAAATTCTAAGTCAGGTAGGTGAGAGATAGTGAAGGTTGGAATCCAGTTTTGAACTCATGTCTTTAACATTCTCTCCGCTTTCCATATATACCAAGGGCCCATACCGTTAAAAGTATGAAACATTGTAAGAACTTAGTAAAAACTAGTTCACTCAGTAACAAGTAGAACATGAAATTATCTCTGAATTTCTAAAAGTCAAAGAAAATAGACAATTCTTATTATATTATGAATGGATGCTTAAAAATATCTTTTCTGAGGAAAGTAATGTATATAATTCATGTTTGTTGTTAAAATGCTCAACCTGTCCTCTGGTCATGGGTCTTAAGCATAATCAATTGTGATTATCACATGATCAGAGCTGATGGAAATCAGATGATGAGATGTGATGCCATTTTGTTCATGTATGTGTATACATAGTCATCATTCCTATCTTTTGACAGCTGAAGAGCAACGTTTTTAATCTCAACAATCACATATCTCAGTATGTAAAGATCTGTAATGAGCAGAAGGCAGAGGTATGTCTACTATTTACATTGTTATGCTAATCTCACTCAGTTCCTTGTTTATGGGCTTCTTTAATTCAATTCTGATTGTCCAAGAAATTACTGCACTCTGAAAAAGTCAGTCTGGCTTATTCAGTAACTTTGTATAGCTGAAAGTTTGCCTTGGCCATATATAATGGAATCCTATAACTTGTCTTGGATTTTTAACTCATTTTCTCTCCTAGATTTTAATGTTAAAGGAAAAATTAAAAGCCTATGAAGAACAGACAGCCTGCACTGCTAAAAGTGATGAAGCAAAGTTAATGATTCCAAACCCTCAGGAAAAAGAAATCGAAAGGTAAAATGAACATTAAAGTCTCATTTTGAGGAATTTATTGTTTTAAAAGTTAGCAAATATTTCATGTTAATCATCATCATTTGTCATACGCTGCATGCATCACAAACAAACTCAGGAATTCAGAAAGTCGCTGATTGCTGTCTATATTGCACATTTTGGAAACCAAATAATTTTCATTTTGTTTTTACAGATAGTCAGGAAAAGCAGGACTTAGGTATGAGACAGAGGAGTGGACACCAGTTATATCACCTGTGAAGCTAGCTAATCTTTAGTTTTGCTCCTGTTTTCCTCCTCTAGCTTGATCATTTGCATAGTTTGAATACAAATCTGCTCTTCTTTATTTTATTGATTCTATATAGCACTACTAGCCCACTTATTAAATTTAAATCATTAATTATGTGAAAGAAGATCTCTGAATAAGTAGCTATTTTCCAGCCTGACCCATTGCCTTCCTGGAACCACATGATGTTAACATTTCTTGGCCCAGTGTCCCGTAGTGTGGAAAATTGTCAGAACGGCTTGGAGGAAAAGTTCCTTTTATTATTGTTATTAAGTACTCTGTGTTTCTTCCTAAACTACTGCGAGCTTATTTCTGTATTTGGCAGTGTAGATGTTGATGACTTAGGTATGCAGTCATTTAGCCTGATCACTGCGGCACTCCTTACAAGTAGTGCTGAGGGCCATGCTGGCCCTCGCTGCCTCACAGTAGCAAAAACGTCCCGTCTGCGCTGGCATCCCAGGTCTCCACCCCTTGTTATTTTGCAAACAGTATAAGAAGTAATTACAACAGCCCAACAGCTGTTGTTTCCATCAGTGACAAGAATCAGCTTTTCATACAGATTGATGTATATATTATCAGAGTGAAGAGCTCTGTTTATCCTGCAGATTTTATACTATGCTTAAATTATTTCTCTTCATCCTCGTAGCAACCAATTTCAAGATAAAATTGTCAAATTTTATTAGTCTTAAGGTGTTTTTATTTCCTACTAGTTTTAGCCTTTAAAAACTACCATAAGTAATTTACTGGCATTCATTTATTCCCCTTAACAAAAGTGTTCAGCTGTGATGTTGTTAGTTTGTTGTGATCGTTTCCTTAGTCAAACATAGAAGTTGTCATTGGGCAACCAGTGTCTTTGTTAATGAAAGATTCTTGAAAAAGAAGTCATCAGCTTCTCAGAATTGGATTAATTGCTCTGTAGAATTTCCCCATACTACTTAATCAAGTCTGCTTTATCAGTTAAAATCTTACGGATTAGTAAACGTTTCTGGATTTGACAGCTTTAAGCACATTGGACAGGGCTGTAATTCTTCTGTCTCATGGTTGGGTGGTGGCTGTGATTTAGTTTTATTAATAAAAAGGCTGATGAAAGTGATTAGATCTGTTGGTAGCATCAGTGGTACGAGCCGCCCAATGGGACAGTTGTGCATGTGCGCTGGTAGTTCAAGGCGGTGGAAACATGTTGAGTCAAATCATGTGGAGGCAGATGGTCTGAACTGTGCAATAAGCATTTATTTGGACATTTTTCATATTTAAATAGTTTTTAAGTACCCTTAGGGTACTTTGTGTTTTAATGATTTTTTTTTTTTGTAAAGGAGCTCTTTAGAAACCTTCAATACTAAATCCTTTTCTTCCATCATAATTAGTAAACACCAAGTAAAATGTCTGGACCACAGAATTACAAAATTGACAAATACTTAACTTTGTCCTTGAGTAAAAACTTGTATAAAAACCAAGAATTTATCTTTGAGTATAACCTAAAGAGAACTTATCAATTCATTTACTGGCATGAGCCTTGGTGTAATACGATACAGTGAAATCACAATGTCCGTACATATTTCCTATGAAATATTTATCAGTTTGACAAAACCGCGGTAAAGTCAATGTATTGTGGCTTATATTCATTCCCAACAGAGTTTCATTAAGAACTACTGACGTAAATTGGCAGTATTTTTACCACAGATCCTTACAAATATATAAAATTCTGGCCAGAGAACATTTATTTTTAAATGCACACACTTGATTTTATTTTAAAGGCTTCGCAGTTACTTATTCTCTGAGATCCATGCCTGTGTGTGACTACTTATGCTGTGACTGTATCTTGGAGCTGATCTGTGATTTGACTGCACAGATACATTTTTTATAATTTTAAAGTATCACTGTGACCAATGTTCTGCTGACCCTGACAGGTAGAGGATTGCAGGATCATTAAAGACTTGTGGTAGGAGTCAGTCACCTACAGGTCTTTGGGCATTCAGAGATCTGAATCGAACCCCTCAACTTGGATTCTCTAGATGAATATTCCCCTTTGGAGGAAACAGCTTTCCTCCCTTCACCAGGTTGTAAACTTGGACAGTTTTGGATCCTGCCAGTGTCCCTTGGCTCTTTTCTTTTCCAAGCTGCAGGGGGTACTGAACCACCGTATGGTGTGTTTCCCTTGTATCTTCTTTGGAAGCTAAAACCTGGCTCGCTGGCAGTCCTTGGGAGGCCACAGAGGCACCATGTGGTGATGCCTCCCACTGCTGTTTCTTCACAGCCAACGCCAGAGCACCCAGCATACCCAGCTCACCCTGCTGGTTGCTCATGGGCCTTAGGAATGGCATAGTGCTCACCAAGACAGCATCCTTTGCCTACAGACATGAAACAGTGTATTTTTTCCTAAGCAGTTAGATCACATACTGATAGAAGCATAGACAAAATACAGTACTAATATCAGAGAATTTGTGATACCTGTATTTCCTATAACGTGATTAGCTTTGGAAGAAAGAAATGAAAACTTAGAAGAAATACACAATATTCCTTTCTAAGCATTTTTGTAATAGGCAGAAGTTATTCTAACTTATTTGCTGTTTGTCACAGAGTGCAGTTCTATAAGTGGGTAAATATGATTGTTTTTTTCTGTTTTTCTTTTCTTTTTTTATGGTATTGGGGATTGAAACCATGGCCTCATGCACACTAGGCAACCCCTATACCTCTGATCACCCAGCCCTCTTTTTTCTTTTTGAAATAAGTCTTACATAGTTGCCTTGTCTAGTCTTGAATTTGCAATTCTCCTGCCTCAGCCTCCCAAGTAGCTGGAATTACAGGCATGCACCACCGTTCCCAGCCTTATTCATTCATTTCTTTAAGTAAATTTTGTATCATTGATCATAAAATTGAAAAGTTTCTGTAATCTGTTTTATTTTTGGTAGATTTCAAGAGATTCTTAACTGCTTGTTCCAGAATCGAGAAGAAATCAGGCAAGAATATCTGAAGTTGGAAATGTTACTTAAAGAAAATGAACTTAAATCATTTTATCAACAGCAATGCCATAAGCAAATAGAAATGATGTGTTCTGAAGACAAAGTAGAAAAGGTATTCAACAATATAACATCCAAACTTCTATTTCTAGAAATTTGATAGCCGAGGTTACCTACTCACTCATTCTCTGCAAACTCATGGAATGGCTAGAGTAATATAGCAGACACTGTTTTAAATGCGTAATGTAAACAAGGCAGAAATTTAAATTCCTAGGTTTCAGAAAAAGGAAACCAGAAAAGCACAATGTTTTGATTGCAACTGTTGTTTCTTGGAGGGTTGCTGCACATCCTAGCAAAGTTCACATGGTGAAGGAGTTAGTTTCCTGCTGCAGACAGGGCAGTGGAAGCAGCTCATTCAGATACAGGCAGCTGCAGCCAGCGGCAGGTTTGCTTCCAGGGAACTTCTCAGCATGGGCACTGCTGCACTCGTCCTGTGCACGCGGAGCACTCCCACATCCCTGCCACTGAGACCCAAGAGGCGAGTGTCGCGAGTGAGCACTCCACAACGGGCTGGGGACCCCACGAATCTGTGCCCCTCCTATTATCTTACCAACCCGCACAGGACGGTAAGGGGAACAGGTCTCGTTTGAGGACTGTCACTGTTGTGTACCTTTCAGTGATTGAGGTTTGAAGTTTAACAGCCCATGTGTGTTGTTGAGAGAACCCATAAAGTTGAAAGATTAATATTCAATATGGTGTCAGCACAGTGATGCCTCTGGGGAACCTGGCAGGAGCAGTGAACACTCAGCCTTGAGAAAGAAGCCCTCAATGCCAGCAGCCACTGACTCCCAGTCCGAAATCATAAAACACCTGAAATAATTTCCCATAGGGAAAAATCAACAGGCTTGGCACATGTGACAGAATCCGTAAAACTTTAGATACTAGGGCTAGCTGATAGAAACTAAAAATGAATGAAATTACAAAAGAAGAAATGGAAGATAAAAGAATCAAAGATAAAGACTATCAAAAAAGTATCCAAATAAGGAGAAAAAAAATTTCCAGAGGTGTTATTTTTTTACTAAACACTCATTTTAGATACAGTATTAGCCAGTCTCTTAACTCATTACATTCTCAGAAATCCCATGTGGTATTTAATATCCTCCTAACCAAGGCAGTAGCAGTCATGTTGTCCAGGGTCACACCAGCTCCTCCTCTTGAGCTGTGATCCAAACTCTGGTGAGCTGAGGCTAGCGCCTGTGCTCTTACTATCTGTGCTGCTGATTTCCATGTTCACTACAGCAGAAGAAAGAATTACAGAGCGCATAAATAGCCAAGAAAGTCTCACCAAATGCGGCACAAAGAGGTAGCATCCAGGGCAAGGTGCTGTTACATGAGGGACAGACTTCTTAATGAGAAAGTCATACGCTCATGTCACAGGCATCCTGCAGGGAGACCGTGAGGATGGACAGGTGATGGTCTAGTGCTGCACCAAAAAGATGTGAATTCAAGAAGCATGAGTCTGAGCAATACGAAATAAAGATATGCCTAGACCTGTGAAACTGTAGATTACCAGATATCAGAAATAAACATTTCGAAAATACTGAATAATTATTTCCAGTTTTGGTGTTCATTGATAAAGTGTAGTTGCATTTTCTAAAGTATGTAAGACATACGATACATGATACATTGGTAGATACATGGTTGTTGTTTTTTGTTTTTTTGATGTGGGTCTTGAACTTGGTGCTTCATGCATGCTAGGCAAGCACTACCAACCACTGAGGTACACCCCCTGTACCCCGTATTATTTGTTATGAAGCTTTATCATATAAATAACTACCTGTTACTCTTAGATTACCAGCCCAAATGTTTTTGCTTTTCCCACCTTCACAGAAGTAATCATTAGGTATGTATAGATAGAGATATATTCTATAGATCGTATATTTCTTGGTGTCCAAAAGGCTCTTCCTGTTCTTTCTGCAGCTCTGGAGACAGAACTCAAGGTCTCATGCACAATAGTCAAGGGTTACCACCATGCTTCACTCTCAGCCCTCATGTGCTTTTGAAAACTAGAATCTCACTTTTTTCTTACCTACTAAATGGGGAAGATGTGATATACTAAAAATTAATCATAGAACATTCGTTAACATATCATTGATATCACTTTATCAGTAGCTCTTAATCTTTTATCAAAATTAGTAATTTATTTATTAAGTGCAATATATACCTGGTCTTACTGAAAATTTCTTCTTAAGATAGAAGAAAAAGTGAATATTTGTCCTTTGGCTGTGTGTGTGTGATTCCTAGGGCCTAAACCCAGGGCGTTGCACGGGCTAATCAGGCTCTCTGCCACTGAGCTACTCCACAGCCCCTGAATGTTTACCTTTGAGACCTGCTGCTACATTTGCACACTGACCTGGTTGAACTACATAGTGATTCCCAATTTTTTTGACAAATATAATGATTTCCAAGTAGCAGAATGTCTCATGGGATTAATATATCCTTGTTGTGAACCCTTTCATATGGTTGCTAAGCGAAATTCTGAAATCTAACCTTGTTATACATTCTAAGGATTGTATTTATTTTGATTATTAGCACTTCTTATAAAACAATTTTAGTTGGATAATTTTTTTTAATTTTGTGTTGATACCACTAAGTAATTTTAACAAAGGGTCTTATTGAACATTTTACATTGACTATGTGCCAGATATTTTATAGATTAATTCATTTGGTATTTATAATAAATCCTTGCGATCCAAAATTATCACTACATTGTGTTTTAGGCCACCTGCAAACGAGATCATAGACTTGCGATGCTGAAAACTCGTCGCTGCTACCTGGAGAAAAAGAGAGAGGAGGAGTTGAAGCAATTCGATGAAAATACCAATTGGCTTTATCATGTGGAAAATGAGATGAGGCTCTTGGGCCAAAATGGTCATATTCCAAAGGTACACATGTGTTTTTCTGTTCAGAGTAAGTTTGGAAAACTGAGCTTTTTAAACTTCTTATCTTTCTTATTGAGTAGATAAATATCTTTGAAAAAGACAACTGTGGCCCCATTTCTCTGAGATTTAACTGACTTATTTTTACTGTTTTTACCCGAACATCCCTTCTGCTTGATAATTACCTACTACAATCAACTTCCCTCTACTTGAGAAGAGTAAAGTTACTTTTACATGTTGTAATTCCTAAGGAATAAATGCCTTTTATGAGGTAGCGCTTCAGTTGAGTAATCTGTTTCAAACTACGTAAGGATTCATCATGTAGATAATTTGTTGTAATCTTGATATTTTGTGCAAAACTATTTTAAATGGAGTGGCACTGATTTTACTATGGCTACAGAAAGTGATCTGATGGAACTGGAAAGAAGGGATCATCTCACCCAGCTCTTCAATTTTAGTCAAGTAACCTGATCTCCACAAAGGCCGTATTTGTGACTTAAGTTGGCATTTGTTTTAACACCAGATCTATCCCTAAAACTCACATAATTTAGGCCAGTGTTCTAAGCATATCATTCTGATTTCGTAGGAAGAAATTTTCTTAAATACATACTGTATTCCTTGAAGTATTAACATGAACTGAGTAAATAAATCCTGTCTTTAACATATCTCAGACGAAGAGTGTAACATGTTTTTAGTCATAGTCCCATTACTAGTGAAGTCTTTTGAAAAGAAAAGAAAGAACAGGAGCTTTTAGAGAATCCATCTTCAGCTGTATTGGAGAGAGAACTGGGACTGAGAAGCTAAAACAGATCACGGGAATTTTTCTAGGAGGAAGTTTCCAGATGCAGCCCTGATGCTGGCTCAGTTACTCAGAATGAACAACTAAATCATTATTTTTCACTGCATGGACTGAAATTTCCCATTTAAAGATGCAGAAAATGTTACTGGATTATCGTTGTCCATACTTCAGTGTATTCATTTAGCTGATACTTTTTGTACTTAAGGCTTACTAGGTTTGAGGAAAGAAATGTAATTTTCGGTTATAGATTGAAGCACAAGTGACTATATAGATGAAGCTTAAGAAAATGGGAAGATGGGAGATTTTTTGACAATATTTAACAATTTGCTTTTGCCCAGGGTGATGCTAATAAGAGTGAGTGTGGGCAGATAACTTACTTCATACAACTCCAGACGCTGAACTCTAGTTTGAGTAAATGAAATGTTACTGGCCAATGCTATGACAGTATTAGAGGGTAGAGGTTGTGTACTGGGACATAATGTAGCCCATGTAAATGTGGGCCAAAATGGTAGAAGTACCATTTTAGCAAAAACTGGCCCTAAGAATGTATTTTCACAATATTGTGAACAAGATGGATAGACTTCCTAATGTTCAGTTTCTAAGGAAACTTCCAACCTTATCCTGCCACTAAGTTAGAGATTACCTACACCAGGACTCTTATTTTCAAAATTGCTTGTAAACATATTTTACCTATATAAAAAATTAAAACTACTGGCATCAGTATAAAATAAAGTTTTATTAAGCTAATATGATTTTAGTATGTTTTTTAAAAATAAATCTAAGACATATTTTGCAATGGTCTCCCTAGGAACTCAGTAAAGATCTTCGTTTTCACCATTTACACCTCCAGAATGAAGATTTGAAAGCACAAATTAGACATATGATAGATCTCGCTTGCCTTCAAGAGCAGCAGCACAGGCAGACTGAGGTGTGAGTATATGGGTTTACCTGTCCTACAGTTTCCAACTGTAGACCTAAAGTGCTCAAAACATCGAAGTTTACTTTTCCACTGCCAGAAAATGTGCATTTTTTTGTTTTCTGGGGATCGAACTCAGGTCCTTATGCTTGCACAGCAGATGCCAAGAAAACGTGTTTTGTATATGTAGTGTGTATTATTTCCCCTTGTCTGCCAGCAACAGAGAATCCTCGCAAGAAGATACTGAGAATATACAAGATGTGATTCTTTCCTGGTAACTAATGTTTTACAATGCTTTATAATTTTTTAAGCATTTTTCTTTAAAATTTTGTTATTTTGACTTAATATATGCAACATAGTAAAAAATTCTAAGAATTCTTATCCAGTGAAGCAGTTGAAATTAACATTAACTGCATTTTTATGTAGGCAACTGTTAATTATTCATAATTCTAGAATGATTTTTCTGTTACTAAAATTGCTAAATATCAAGGGTCCCGATTTTTATGTGATGCTCCTTAATACCCTCTCCACTAGCTCAGTAATAACGCTTCAGTCATCTAATTTCACAAACAGAATTTTTTTAAAGTATGGCGTAGAGGTTTTGGTCACCTCAGATGAGTCATCCAGCTCCTCGGCGTCACTGGTGTTCTATGCAAATAGAAAATTGTTTCTCTACGGACATTCTTCCACTCTGAAGTCTACTCTGCCCTGTAACTGCTGGTTAATTTTCTACACTTTTGATTTATAGGAAATCATATTAGTGTAACAGATTTTAAAAAAGAAAACGAAACTTCAAGGCACTTTCCTCTGTGGATGGGAGCTCACACCAAGCTGCCTGCTGCCTCCCAGAGCAGCTGGTCTTCCAACCGACCACTGGCTCTCAGACCGCCCCGGGAAGTTCAAGCCAAGAGCCAAAACAACACTTTCACCATGCGTATTTACTGTATCAGGCACACAGGTTAATAAAGTTAGGGTGATATTTTACTTTAAAATAGGAAAAAAAGGATTCCACTGGCTCACTAATTTAAGAAAATGGTGACCCGGGCATCACAGAGACAATGTGGCATAAGGGGAAGAGCATGAGATTCAGAATCAGTCCCGAACTCTGGCTTCTGTGAGCAAGGCAGTGATTGCGTAGCCTGCCAAGCCCTGTCCTTCAAGCAGATTACAGCACAGACATGCCCCTGGTGCCCACCTTCAGGCTCCACAGGACTGAGACTCATCCTGTGATTATGTTTAAGTTGTGAGCTGTTCACAAAGTCTACTGCACAGCGGGAAAGGAGGCGAGGGGGAGGGGGAGCCTCAGAACCCTGCCTCAGGGGAGTCACAGCTTGTGGTGTATTCCACCTTCAGAAGATGTGACAGCACATGGGAAATGCTGTCTGGTTTGGGAGCTCTTTCGAGACTTAATACCTTGAGTTTTTGTTGAGAGCTGATCTTCATAAACACCCTCTCACTAGCATTAGCAAGTTCAAGGCTTTTCTAAAGGAACTAGCACAAAGCCACTCTTAGCACATGCCTTCAGGAACTGAGGGAGATGCTTCCCATCAGGTTGAAGAGGCCAGCCTCGGTCGGGCCTTCTGGGTCACCTTCTGCACAGTCCAGCTGGCCAGACTGGGTGTGGGGTGCACCCTGGAGGAGCCCCCACCTTGGCACAGAGCCGCAGCTCTCCGGGGCTGGCTGTCTCGTGACTTAGTCAGGTCCTGTGTGGGTAGCCCCGTGATAGTCTTCTGAACAGCTGCAGGCCGAAACTCTGGGTTTGGATGTTGAGGGTACCCTGGAACCATCCCCGTGGGATACTGGCAGCAAAGGGGGGGACAACAGTACCTCATTATTCAAGTACTCAATAAATGTTTTATTTAGCCTTGAATAATTTTTATCTCTATACATCTGTCCCTTAATACCTCCAGGAGGCTGGCTCCAGAACCCCTCTGATACTCAAACCAGCCCATGCTTAAGCCCCTTCCGTAAGGTGATGTAGTGTTTATAAGTAATCCACCTATGTCCTTCTGTGTGCGGTAACTCATCTCCAGGTTCCTTGGAATACTTAATATAATGCAAATGCTGTGCAAATAGTTACACTGTGCTGTGTAGAAAATCATAACAAAGGAAGGAGTCTTCCCCAGTTCAGTCCAGTCACAGCTGTGCTAGGTCAGATTGCAGAGTAGGCGAACGAATCCTGAGGCAGATAGTTCACATAGGGGCCAGAGAGACAGGGACTCTGAGAAGTGAGAAGCTACAGCAGGGCAGACCGCACCCCTTCTTTCCTGTGGGGTCAGCATGGTGTTTGTCAGGCAGCTAATTAAGACTTTGCTATTTGGAACTCTGGATTCGGGGCAGGGAGGGGGAGTATTCCTGCTGCACTACTGGTTGGATCCATAGATAAGTCCAGAGATGCAGGAGCCCAGCTGTACTTGTTAACTATTTGACTTGAGTGGAGTTCTCCACACCAACCCCAGCCAAGAAGAAAAGAACCATGGATTATTTTTACTGTTTCTAAATATTTTATGTTCTGGGGCAATAGGCAATCATTTCCTTGTATGTTAAAATTAACACCTGGTTATTTTTTCAAACTGCTCTGTCCGTACTTTTCAGGTGGTTCTGTTATTTGGGTAAGTCAACTGGAACACCGTCTGTCAGCTGTCTCAGTGAATCCGAACTGAGCCATTTGAAGATCGTGTTTAAATCTGCCTTTATAAAAGTTAGGGGCTACAAGTTTAGTACACAAAGTTAAGACTGTTTAGGGCAAACTGATATGTACAGAGGTCTAATACATGAAAAGATACCATCAGTGCTACTATTGGTGATATGCAAGATTTTGAATCAGAGCCAAGAATTTAAAGCCTTAAATACTCCTCAAACGCAACATTCTTGTCCAGATCTTTTCTTCTTGACACCCCTTGGAAGCTCACTCTGAAAACCACTGCTTGTAGGTCACTTATCTTAAAGGAGAATTGGATTTTGTTATGTTGTTGTATTGTGTGTTTTAATGTTTTATACTTAAAATGGGAGACTTTTCATTTGACAGTAGTGTATAAAGGGTAAATGAAATACATAGTGAATGTCTAAACTTTCTTAAAAATTTATTGCAGTAAAAGACACATTGTCATTAATCTCCCTCAGAATACTCCCCCTTACTTCAAACACACTTATTCCCTAGTTCTTGCCACTTTCTAAAGCAGTTCTTGGAGTCCTCTTTCATGAGTGTCTTTGCAAAGAATGATCAAAAATACAGTGAATGCTGCTGCTGAGTGTCATCCACCAGAAAGGCGGGCTCATAAAAACATCACTGTAGGTCCTCATCCACTTTATTCGCCAGATCTGGCTCTTCCCCAAGAATTGACTCTGGATATTGAGTAGCCATGACAACACAACTAACAACACTCAGAAAAAAGGACTCCCAGAAATGCTCCAGAAAGTGAACAAAAGTATATGGAGACTATCCAGGAAGAGGGCCTGGTCCTTAACTTCCCATCCAAGACTGTTTCTAGTGTGCACTTGTTATATTACTCTTGTCAAAGCATTTGACTGAAATAACATTTTCTAAAATAAAACATACACAGGAAATCATTTTAATATGCTAATGCTATAGGTGTTACGTAAAAGAATTGTAAATGATGTATTTAAAAACTAGTGTTTGTCTCTCCTTTCTCACCATCTTCTCTACAACAGAGTTCTGAATGCTTTACTTCCAACCCTAAGAAGACAGTATTGCACACTGAAAGAAGCTGGCTTGTCAAATGCTTCTTTTGAGTCTGACTTCAAAGAAATTGAACATTTGGTGGAGAGGAAAAAAGTGGTGGTTTGGGCAGATCAGACTACTGAACCCCCAAATCAAAAGGATCTACCAGGAATTTCTGTTCTGATGACCTTTCCACAGCTTGCACCTGTTCAGTCTATTCCTTGTTGTAAGTATGGCTTTTATTTTATTAGCTAAACAGTAACGTTATTCCTAAAGAGATGCTTTTATTTGTCAGCCTACAGAACAGTTAATTTTCAGTATGCTTGGCTATTTTATGAAAATTAATATGGAAATTAGCTTCAAAGTCATTTCATTTAGCACGTATCTTCCCAGGATCTAAGATCGAGTGTAAAATGAGGTTCAAAACAGCTCTGGCACTAAACCCATTTACCCATTTTGATGAAACAGCTTTTCTTCCTATCCTTCTTTAAAATTTACCCTCTATTAAAGATTAAAGTTATATAATACTATATTCTCTAATATCTAATAATGTGTTCTTGAGATCACAGTGTAGAATTTATTATTTTTCTATTATCATATTACTTTCAGAAGTATGTGTGGAATGTGTTAATTGTGAAGCTAACATTATAATCTTGGTTAAAATTAATTCCGATGGTGTAGAATGTAAGAAGTAGAATGCCGTATTTGGCTGTCCCCAGAGCTCCAGTCCTGTGTTCTCTCTTTGAGATGATTAATGTTAAGTTGTGTGTGTGTGTGTGTGTGTGTGTGTGTGTGTGTGTGTGTGTAAGAGAGAAATACAAATATCTTTCAGGTTTTTTGTTGATGTTCACATGAAAGGTACCATGTTATACATACTAGTCTGTAATTTTCCTTTATTTAGTTCATTATGAACATGGTTAGCCTACTTACATGAAGAATTTACCTTTTTTAAGTTTTGAAAATCCAAGAAATAGGTGTACCATAATTTTCTTAGCCAGTCTATTGTTGAGCAGTGCATCAGAGAATATACCTGTGTATTCATATTTGCAAATCTGTAGAAACTGATTTACTGGATTGGAGGATAGGTTTTTTTTTTTTTTAATCCATGCTATTAATCAAATTGGTCTGTAAAAACCAAGATGCTGTTCAGATTGAGGATACCCAACCCAAATAGCGGAAATCTGAAATGCTCCAAAGCTTGAAACTGAGCACTGACGTAAGACAAGACTATTTTGTATTTCGGGACATCTAATATCTTTAGATTAGGGACACTCAACCAGTAAAGTCTATGCTGCAAATATTCCACAATTTTAAAAAATCAAAAATCTGAGACAATCCTAGTCCCACACATTTTGGATAAGGGATATTACAATCTATTATACCAGTGTGTGTGTGAAAATACCTGTTCATCTTTATCTAACTAGCATTAGTGGGAGCATAAGTCTTTAAAAACAACTAACTTTTAGCCTACTGGTGGGATTGCTTCGTCTTCTGTTACATATCCTTTGTTTCCTTGAGTTAGTGGGATTGTTTTATTGGTTTTGTATTTTTGTTTTTGTGTGTTTTGAGCTAGATACTCAACATTCCATCACTGGGTTGATTTGATAATGCTTTCTCTATGATGTGCCAGTACTTTGATTGTACAGCATTGTTAACTTTTATAAGCATAGTTTCACAGGGCAGGGAGCAGGCTCCTGAAGCTGCTGTGCCCTCTTTGCTGCCAGGGTTGCTGGCACTTCCTCCTGACCCCTGGCATCCATGAGCACCCTCAGGAGCCGCCAGCTGCTGCTTCTGCAGAGATGGCCTCCCTGTGCCTCCCTCTTGATACTGCCAGCTCTGCAGGCTCCTTAGCCGGCCAGCGCCCTCAGGTAGAAGCTGTGTGTGTGGTGTCAGACTCCTGTTGTCTTCAGAGGAGCTCTTGGTCTGAATTAACTACATCTTTGTTACTAACAGAAGGCCTCCATGTTGTATTTATATGGTGATAGGGAAGTTGGATACATTCCATAAACATAATATCTTCTTTTTCTTTAATAAAATTGTCATTCGGCTTGATATAGTTGAGAACTTTAGAAAGTGAAGAATTTTTCAGATTCTCTTCTACCTTTAGGGCCTGATTCTTTCTAATGGATTCAAGATGTTGGAGAGGAAATAGGGTTTTAGCACAAAGCCTGAGAAATACTGGCCACCTGCTATTTGATGGTCATTATTTCCTATTTAAAAATCCATATTTCATGGATATTGTAATTACATAGACTATACTTGTCAGCAAGAAAGCCTTTATTTGCCTCTAAATTCTTTTTCAAAATGTTTTCAAAAGGAAAGACATGTTGCATTTTATAAATAAGCACTTTCGTTTGGGAACATTCAGAGGGTGACTTTTGGCTTTATTATGTTTAGTTTTTGGTTTGTTATTTTATAATTTTGTTAAAACGATTTCATAGACTACTTGCTCATATGTCTTGTCCATTCCATGAGTTATGTATGTTCTATGCATTATGAATAGAGTCAAAGAGTAACAAAGATATGAGTCTACCTATACACATTTATTGTTCTTAGTCTTAGAATGTTGGAGTACATGAATGGAAAAAAGCATCAACAGCAGTTTGTGTTAGCATACATTTCTAAAGACATGAAGCAATAGCTATATAGGATGCATGTATCACTAAAATATTTTATTTACTAGGATATAGGGTGTTTTTATTTGTTTGACAATGATCTGTGTTTGTTCTTTTCTGTGAGTTGCCCACTCTTTGTTGAACATTCTTCTGGTATAGTTGTCTTTTGCCAAAATGATGGCTTATATGCAAGAGCTTAAGTATGAGGGTATTTATTTCCCTAGCGATACTGAGCTTCTCCGATGTGGAAGGCCCTTAACTAATGCAAAGGAATATGGCACAGTATAAAGCAGACTGTCCTCGCCTTCACGCACCTTACTTTCTAGTGGAGAAAGGCAGTAAGTGCGATAACTCAGTCAGTCTTATCTGCATGCTGTGTGAAAAGAAGTAACGGAGGCCTAGGAGCGAAAGCAGGGAGGGGTTTGCTGTACTCTACAGGATGGTGAGGGTACATCGAGCTCCCTGACGCAGTGCGAGGGGCTTCACGCAGTTAGTCCGCACACATGGGAGAAAAGAATCTTTCCAGTAGGGGAAATAAGCAGCATACAGAATCCCTAACACGGGAATTTGCCAGGCATATTCACAGTGGCCAAGAAGGCACTGCCTGTTAGGAAGCAAAAGAGAAGGAAAGTAGAAAATGCTGGGACCGTAGAAATAGGGGGAAAGACAGGTCATGAACAGCTTTGCAGGGTTTTTTTCATTGTATTGTTTTTTTGAGACAGGGTCTCACTGTGTAGTTCAGACTGGCCTTGAACTCACTATGTAGCCCTGACTGGGCTTGAACTCGTGGTAATCCTCCTGCCTCAGCCTCCAAAATCCAGGGATTACAGGTGTGCACCACCATGCCCAGCTCCAATGTATTTTGGAAGTAGAACTAAAAGGATTTGCTGACAAATTGGATTTGGAGTAGGAGAGAGAGAGGTCTAGGATGGCTAAGATGTTTGGGGTGGACATCTAAAAGAAAGGACTTGCCTTAAATAAGATGGGGAAGACCATGTGAAGTGGTTTGCAGAGGAGAGATGGTAAAACAAACTAGGAATTCAGTTTCAGACATGTTAAATGTGTCTGAGATCCATCCAAGTGGAGACCTCATGTAGGCAGCTAAGAATCTGCCATTCAGGAGCGGAGTCTAAGTGAAACACAGAATTTGAAGAATGTTAACATTTAGATGATATTTAAAGCCATAGGACTAGATGAGATCACCGTGGAACATTAACTCCGGTAATATGCATAGTGCAGTTATATCCTTCATATAACTTTTATCATTTACTCTTGACTTTATTTGAAGTGTCCATTTTAATGCTGAAGTTTTCAAACTTTCATGTAGTAAAAGTTACTTTTTCTCAGGCCTTAGGAATCATTCCTCAGAAAGCCCCTCCATAAATTTTAAATGTTCTCTTCCATTTTCTAATTTATTTTGATACAAGGTGACAAGAATCCAGCTTTTTTTCTGAGTAGCCTGTTATTCGTGGGTGTGTGTGTCCACACTTGTATACATTTCACCCCTCCAACGTCGCTACATTCTACAGACAGAGTACAGTGGTACCTCAGTTCACAAACTCAATTCTCTCCACGATTCTTGGCGCAAACCGAGTTGGACGAGAACCAAATCAAATTCAGTGGTTAGGTTCAATGTTGAGCTTATGGGGAAATTTGATTCTGTTCTCATCCAATTTGGTTTGTGACCAGAATCATGCAAAGAATTAAATTCGTGAACCAGTGTGCCACTGTAGTCATGTAATTGTGTTTTTTGAACTTTGGTTCTATTCTTTTTTATTTACCACTCTAGGGCTAGGAGTTAATATTTTAGTACTTCATACATGATAGTATCTTTTGATCTGTAGCAGAGCTAGTCCTCCTTCATTACTCCTGGTTTTTAAAATATTCTTTGCTATACCTATAAAATAAACTTTAGAAATATCCTTATTTATAAACTTTGATTACTTTTTATTGAGGCAGAAGCCAAATTTTTAATTTTGTCAATTTTGATACTTTGCCAGTATCATTACTGTAGATTTGGGGTAGATATTTATGTCGCCTGTCTGTTGACTTAGGGTAGAGCACACCCAGTTTGGGTGGAGAAAACAGAACGCTTGCTCGCTAGTGCTGGGCAGGGTGCGGGTGCTAACGGCAGGTTTATTTATGGGATTGATAAAACTTCTGACATTAAATGAAAAGTCAAGATTTCCTCATTATCCATCTGGAAACTCACATTCAGTAATATTTCTGTCTCTAACCTTTCCTTTTTTTAAAGTTTTGCACCCTGTGTCAGTGGTTTTATCTTAAAAGCACAATGAAAGGTCCTAGTAGAAACCAGATTGTTATAGTACAGATATTCTGACTGAATATAGTTTAAATTTTCCCTCAGATTACTCGAATACAAGGAAATTTCATGTTTAATAAAATGGTTAATCTCTATCCTACTTCATATAACAAATATAAGGTAGTAAAAATGTTTTGAACTTAATCGTCCACGTTTTTTCCCTCTTGACAACAAAATATCCTCATTACCAATAGTGTAAGTCATGCCGTGGCCCCAAATACGTTCCACTTGACGCTTACTCCCCACAGGCATACGCGCTATAAGTTACTCACCTGCAGCTAAATGAAG